TATTAATTAATAAATTGTCATCAATGTGCTAATAGTAATATTTATTAGTAGTAATATTTATATATTCATATTTCATAAATAAATGAAAATGGATCAAGTGTTTTAACGCCTACTAGTTATCATATTTTATTTCACTTGGATATACCAATTTCGTGAATATAACAGGTTTTTAAAATTATTTGATTCATATCAATAAACGTGGAGGGAATTGTTCTATTTTTTTCGCTCTTTTCATTTTATGACCAGAAATCACTCGCTACTACAAAAACTCATGTATCGAAAAATGAATTGTTTATGTCAACTATTTATTTTTTACACAAGAAATTACAATTATGTTTGGCGAAAACATAAGTAAAGTGTTTGAAGTGAAAAAGGAAAACAAATGAATTTTCGACGACGTGACTGCTTTAGAGCTGTAGAAGGTTAAATGCTGAAGACACAAGAGAATGACATATCTAGTGGCGACGCGCGCGAATGCCGTTACGTTTCCTACCTATAATATACTAGCAGAGAAAAATTTCACGCATGGAAAAACCGTTGTTTGAAAATCAAGTATTTTATGTCAATTACAATTAGTAATTATCTTGTAAAATATTTTCTATATCAAATTTTGATTAGCTGCACGTTGAAGATTGAAATTATGTGTCATGCTAACAAAAATACTTTTCCATTTAGTAAATGGCTTGCTTGGACGGAATAGAATGATTGATTTCCGCAGACGGAACCTAATGATTGTTCGTCTCACTTTAAAAAGAATATAATCGAACAAACAAAACAAAACGGTGTTCGAAGAAATGTGCCTTTTTTGCTCCACACAGTGTGTAAATTAAAAAAATTGACAAGTACTTCTAAATAAAATCATTCTATTTGATACATCCAAAATTTTCATATTTTCTCGTAAAAAGTTAACTGCACACTACAACCTTTTTCCAATTTCTGCTTTACTTCATATTTTTATCTTCTCTAAGACAGACAAGATCGATTAACTTTCGGAAAAATCGGACGCTAACGCGCGATATCAGCGATGAAGCGTTTATCGTGGGGGGCGATCGAATTGCGCGAGGTGACGCGAGAACGACGGAAAACATTCGACTTGCTCTATACGCGCGGAATTGCGCGGCGAGAGAGCAGATGGACGTATCGATCCATCGACACGGAACTCGAAGCCCACGCCGGCTTGAACGTTATACAGCGCGGGCTAACAAATAATACAATTACGCTATGACGAATATTCACGAGTCGGCTTGTAATATATGTATAAAGTGGATAAAAAAGCATTATACCCATGCGACGCGTTGTTTTATGGACATGTAACGATAAATAAGAAAGAAATTGCAAAATACTACTGCGAATTTAGCGAAACGCACGACACACGTGCGTTTGTTCGCTGCCGAATCGCGCGCGAAACATCCTTCAATTTATACAATCTGTATCATATATGTTTTTCATCTCCGACTCTTCCTCTCTCTCTTTCTTGTGCTTCTCTTTCTGGCCTTCCGTGCGCCCTTACTTGTACCTGTACTAATTGCATCTTGGGTGAACGTACATATATATTTAGTTGTCCCGAGTTTCCCACGTTATCCTTCGGTACAGATTCTTGGAATAATTTAATGTAGGTTTTGTCCGTAACAAAATTATTACTACTAAATGCAAACTAATAATTTTTCATTTTAAAACTTTGAAATTTTTATTATTTAAATTTACGATATTTAACGAACGCAAAAGTAGCTGTTATAAATTATTACTTTGTACCTAATATATCATCTTGATTACGATATAAATATTATCAGTAAAATAAATGTTATGATAACTTTTAATAAATTTATATACATTGGAAGTATGATAAATATTGAAACAAAATTGTAGACTTGAAGAACAGTCGAAATTCGATATTTTTAGCCAAGGAATTTCATTAGACTGACGCAGTAAGCTCTCCTCGTCGGTAACATCCGACTACACGCGCTCGCCGTTATTCTTTCGGCGAACAACCGGCGAACTTTTGAACGGACCGCTCGAGGATCGAGCGGCCGCTGATTTCGGCCGGCGATCGCCGTGGTCTAACACGTGAAATAGACTCACGAATTGTCCGGCCATCGTGCCGACCGGATGTCGACGTATATCGATCCATCGAACTGGACCCGCGAGCTACCGTGTCGCGCGGACCGTCAGACGTAACGGACAGGATAGTAAAAGCCCTCTGGTTCCAGTTGGTACGACGGGTCCGTTCGTACATCCGTTCGTACGTCCATCCGCTCGTACGTCCGTCAGCCCGTCGGATAATACCAGAGTTCACCTAAATATAACTCAGAAGCGGAGAAACGGAGGGAAACGTGCGCGCCCGCGCGAACGCGCGCGCGCGCGTAAGCTAGTGCGAGAAAGCATGAGAGGAGAAACGGGTGGGAGACGTGGTGGGGAAGGAGAGAGAGACAGAGAGAAAGAGAGAGTATGAGACGGGAGGATGGGCGAGACGAGGAACTCCGGACTCACCGCTATGCCGTCCAGGTTGCACGGCCAGTTGCAGCTGCATGGACATCACCATGGCCATGTATTATTTTGTAGCATGCTTAATATATACGCCCGGAGAAGGGATCGGGCCGAATTTCGACCGCGGAACGACGAATTCGACTTTCCGTAATTGAGTACATAATATATATATGTATATATATATATACACGTATGCATACATATGTACATGTACCGCACCGCTGATGAACTCCAACTCGATCGATCGCCGCGTTAAAATCTTGACAAGGCATGCTAATGTCTCCCGTGTATATAGCGCAAGTCGAATCCCCGATCGATGCGGACGAGCAAAAATGGAAACGGATCAGCCACTATTAACTGTCATTCTGCATTTCCCGAATTATTATTCTTATATATTTGTCCCTAAAATGTTATAAATTTTTCCAAATCATGCGCTTTAAAAGTACAGACATTACCAGAAATAATTATTGTTCAAAAAATTCATTGGAAGAAAGAACATCGAATGATTAGGAGTTAATGATTCCATACGATTAAATCAAACAATGTGATTTATCTCTTAAATATTTAGAATTTAAATTTCGCTGAGTTTAATTACATTAGTTAGATTTATAAATAAAAGTAAAAAATAAAACATTTATCACTAAGATCATGTAAATAATTAGGCGATAATCTATCGCATTGCTTTTGCAATCGCCAGTATTTGATCCCTAGTAATTATGACCGATACATAAGGGAATTTGAATTTCCTCATTAGCGCTAATCCGTAAGTTTGGGAAAATCGATTATCTATACTTATTCGCTGGAATTCTGATTCCATCGTTCGCAAACAAAACAAACGAAATATTTCATAGAAACTATGATTGCTACATGAAATGCGAACATTTTCTTACTTTGCTCTCACTTTCCCAACTAATGAATTGGTTTCTCTTTCTCTCCCTGACATATGTGAAAGTCCTAACTTAATTAAAAATAAATTAACAAATAAATTAGTACACATATTAAGAAAAAAAGAACTTTGTCAATTTTTATCGTCACATTTTTTAGAGATATAACAAAACTGCTTACATAGTCAAATATTAAATAATATGTTGTAAAATGCTTACAATTAGCTATAATAATTATATTTTAAATAACGATAGACTACTGTTATCTATGTTACAATTAAAAATAATAACGATTAATATAATATTGAGCAACGATAGAACTATTACTAATTAAGCGATTTTTTACTTGATTTCCGCGTTAAAAAATTTTCACAAGTTTCCATAGCTTTCCAAACTATTCCCTAACTGTTTTCGGTTTTCTTGATTTTTGGTCTCCACGTTCTTCTTCTAGAAATACTGAAAAACGGTGCACGATGAATCGCGTTTAATTTCTTGTCCTCGATGTTCTTTCTCGTCACGTTGGTGGTGATTCGTTCGCCAATCGTCCACGTTTATTAATTGTCCGCGAAATATTTTACAGCGACATTTAAAAAGAAAGGATCTTGGCTGTAAAACAAAGTATAATACGATCGAAGTATTTGTCACTTTGTAGTATAATGCCGAGTGAGTCGGATTTGAAATTAAATATTCGCGCATACTGACAATGAGTTACTTCCATTTACTCGGATTAGTTTTACTAACTTTTCTGGTCGTCTCGAAACAGTTACGTTCATAGCCTATGACTTTCTCTGAGAAACGAGTCTCCGAGTTCAATCCGATTTACCCTCCAATTCCATTTCACCCGCCGTTATTATGGCGCTATGCAGGGACGAAAATGCTTGCATGTTTATTTTTGAAATACCTTTAACAACGAGAAACGCGATCAAATTCGATGTGATAAATTCCACAGTGCTGCGCGCTGCAATCGTTGTCGGTAAATAACATACAAAAACGAACGGGCGTATCGTTTTTCTGTGAAAAACGATGCAACATTGAAACCGAACTTGACTTCAAGTATCACGAATCAAATTCTCTCTTTTTTTTTTGTACAGTCGATCATAATTATCGAAGAAAGTTTTCACTATCCAGAAGAAAATTTATTTAATTCTGCCGCTTTCATGCGCGCATGCATTCGTGCATAAAAATATAACACCCTCGAGTTTGCAATTTCATATTTATATTGCCATTAGCAATATTTATTAAAATTTTAGAATTTTGCAAGACCTTCCATCGCGCGAGAAGTACTCTCTTTCGATAATTAAGAGTTTTGATTCACATAAAAATTGCGCATAGCTTAACAGCATTAATGATGTCATATGCTAAAATTTTCTCTTCACCAACGCAATCTGAACTACCCTCGAAAATATCGAACCGGCAGAGCAAAACAAATATGAATAGGCATACAATTTTAGAATGCCCGTTTTATTTCACTCCTTGGTTACTCACACTCTAAAATTGCGCGATCTGAAAATTAGATCTTAAACTTTATTATACACGTATATTTTTAAAAAATAGAATTAAAATTAAAAAGTTAAGATTCAGAAGATTAAATACTTTTTTCTCTGTCTCTGAAAAATTAAAATCTGATTTCAGATTCCCCAAAGAATCTTTCACCATAAAAGACGTTGAATCCGCGGGACATTCTCTGCAAAGGAGGACATAGACAGAGCACCGAGTAACTTGCGGAAAAATCTACCAGGTACTCGTTAGATTCATTTTCCACGAGACTCGTGTTCGTGCAAAGCGCAAGACGCGGACAGAGAACGCGGTATCTCTCGCGGAGCGTCCTTACGTCCCATTCGGAAATAATGCAGCGCCTCTCGTTAAATTACCCGCCCGCTCGTTTCGCGTCGTCCGCGCGTAATGCGTCACCCCTTTCCCTCCAACCCTCCCGCCCGCCGCTCTTCCCTCCCCCGACGTAATGTACATAAATACATTTAATCTCGCTCTCCTGCTGCCCTCCTGATATTTTTCGAGAGATCGATCGAGCCGCGCGGTCCCACATTTTCCCTGCTAATTCCGAGATCTCGTTTGTGAATTTCGGTCGACGTTGGCGCGTTCCAAAATTGGTATTGGCGATCCCTGGCAGCGCTGAGTTTCTGGCTCGAGCGCCGGGGGTATGGCAGAAGCGCGCGGCTATAATAAAGGCGCACCATCCCTCCACCCCTCTGCTTCCCGCGCCACGCCGCATCTACCCGCGTCTCGCCCCGCTTCGCTTCGCCTTCGTCGTCGTGCTGTTGCCGCGCGCGCTCGCTCGCTCGTTCGCCCGCTCGCTCGCACGGTCCCGCTTCGCCGGGTGGCGGCGTATACCCTCCTCCGACTGCCGCTCTCGCTCGGAATCGGAAAGGGGAGACCGCCGGTGGTGCGCGCAGGCGCGAGGGTCGAACGGAAAAAATCGGCCGGGCTGACGACGGGGGATGGTCGTCGTATCGATCGCGCTAACATCGGGGACCGAGAGCGCCGGAGTACGGGTATCTACGGGTATAACCGTGATGCAGCCACGGTGACGGCTATACCCCGACTCGACCGAGAGTGAATGACGTGCCGCCGAATCCTGGAGGACTTTTAGTTCTTCCAACGTTATCACGAAAGCATGTCCGACGTACAATCTTTTTCTCGCGTGGAAAATTTCACGCGATTCTATTGTTAGATTAATTCGCAAAAACGCAGTAAGCGCAATACGATACGACGTTGAATTCTTCAGATGATCGGAATTTATCGCGCTCGCATTGGGCGAGCGCGTATCATTAGCGAACTGCGAGCGCTCGAGAGCACTCCCGTCCAGCTGAACTTTACTCCCCGTTCGCATCTTGCGCGAAAGGCACAAGGTAGCACGCGTTGCCGGTCCCGGAAAAAGTCTCATCCGTTTATACGTTCTACAAAACGCGCAACAAAAGTCAGCACCGACATCGCACGAGCGCGTCCGAGGTTGCTCGAAGTTACGGCGATGGAAAGCAAGAAGGGACACGGCGATAGAGAGAGAAAGGGAGAGATAAAGAGAGACCGAGCGAGCGAGCGAGTGAGCGAAGAGATGTAGAATGTAGCTAAGAGGGGTCGACGGGGAGGGAAAACGCGTTCGACGCACGATGGATGCAACGGACTAAAAATCTCGGATATTTTCGGCCGCGCTCGGCCGCCATCGGATGTAAAATTTATACAAAAATACAAACGCGCGACGAGTATTAGCCAGCGTTATGTATATTAACCGAGAGAGCCAGTCGCGATAAATTCTCGACTTTGTTCGATGTTGACTGGCGTTACGTCCGTACGAATGCAGTACCGTAAATAATAAAAAAAGCTGCGATATTAATCGTAACAAGGCCGGATAATTATTCAGAATCCCAGCAACGCGGAGAACCGTGCTGAAATAGCACTCGTACTGCTAAATAAGAAGCGAATATTAGAACAAATAGATATCGGTCAGTTTGATCGATCTACAAACCGAGAAGCAGAATCGACTTTAAACTCGAAGTGGCTCCCAGGTTCGGTTATAATGTAAAAAGGCACTTGTCACTAATGAGAAATATCGATTTTGCAGCTATTAATTTATGATTAATAATAATTCAGCAAATAAAGTCAAAATTGAAATCCGTCCAGCAGAACATTTATTTTAAAGATGAAAAACTTTTGGTTTCTCATCATAGTTACATGAAATTATGAAATAATAAAATTATATGATTTTTTTTTTAGGATACATTGAAATAAATTAATTTCTTTAAATATCATAAATCATAGATTTATGGATTAATATATTATTCATTATAATCAACTGTTATAATCCAATATAGATTCACTGATTGTAGATTTAAATTTAGTGTTTAGTTTCAATTTGTGGATATCACATTAACAATAAATATATTTAAAACACATATTTAAAATTCAGCGAAAAAAAGAAAACAAGCAGAAGAATTTACTATCACACCCGATATATCGCATGCTATTATTTATTTATTGTGATGCGCGCTATAGATTATAAAGTGGGACATCACAATCATAAAAGTAATTACTACTACAAGCCAATGGCTTGTATCGCTCCGTGGGAAAATAATCTAATCAAACGTTGAAGTATGAAATACATATATTAGATCTATTTTATTTTTTTTTCTATATATTTCTATCGTCATATAAATACATAAAAACTATATAAGAGTGATTGACCAATGTAACTGACAGAAAACAAATTTATAGAGAAAGCAAATCTTTTCTTTTTTTCTTTAAAGTTATTTTTAGATACACATGCGTATATTAAGAAACTAAATATCACTGAGAAGGTGCAGCTTTCTAAAAAAAATATATTAAATTATTTTTCTTGATGTGATAAAAATGTACGTAATGTTTAGATAATAGACAGAGAGAATGGATGTATTCGAATGTAAACAAAATACTAATGCCACCCCATGCCATCTAAGCTCTTTTTCTCACAATTCCTTTTATTAACAAAGCTTGATGAGTAGGTAAAAACAATTAATGTACCAAATATTTCTCCCAAAGATATTTTGCTTCTTTATTGGCTTATCTTGAAGGTTTTTCCTGTGTTTTCTAAGTTGCTGCGTGTGCTATGTCATTAGCTTTGCGAATTAATGCTTTCGCTATCCTCTGCTTGCAAATTGAAAACATCTGTAAGGATAACAACGATGAAAAGCTTTTACATTTTCCTATGTGAAAAGATTAGAGAAATAGTTCCAGATATTTTAAATTTATAAATAACGCCTGATTTCTTTAGCGTTGAAACATTTTCTTATTTCTAATAGTTTATTAGAAGTGCTACACATTTGTAGAACATATATCTTATATACTTATAGACTTGTATAGATTAAAAACAACACAAATTTTTTTAATTAATTTAAAAAGTACAATTTATGTACAATAAGAACATGCCTGGCTTTCCTTATTTTTTTTAAAGAAAGATTTGAGCTATCTTTGCTATTGCGAAAAGTATATTGTCTATATTTGATTAAATCACACTTCTTTTAAAAAGGGAACATTTGGAATAATATTCAAGTCGAAAAAATTATATAATACACTACAAATTTTACACATTTGAAAAATAATACTTTCGATGCTTGATTTACACTATTCCTCTTTACACAATTTTAAACACATAACAAGGGATGAAAATATCTACATACTAAGACGACAATGTACATCTCTATGAGAGAACATTATAATAATATAAATAATTTTCATCAATTACTTTGACACAGCGAGTAACATGAAACTTTATAAAAAAATAGCGAATACTTACTCATGTACTTATCAAGACACTCTGTGAAACCTTTTGACTATCGTATTCTGGATCCATCCATCTCTATCTATAATAAAACATACAAACTATAATATATATTAACAATGAATAATTTGATATTACAGAATTGGGCATACATACATGTCAAGCGTACCGCAACATGATCCTTCCGTTGATCGTCGAGGTGCTGGTAAGTCTCACATCGTTACTATTGTTCCGTGTCGTGTTATTTTAGATTGATAAAGCTACGCAATTTGCGATCGTACTCCGTTGCGGATGCCGCGTGGCATCGCGGCGCGTTGCCATTTTCATTAACGCGTTACGCTGCCGTCGTCGTCGCTACGAGAGACGGGCATTCGGCACACCACGAATGTGACAGCCGGACCGAACTTCGGTTAAGGTCGAGCGGATTCGGTCCTCGTCGGATTTAAATATCGGCCGGAAATAGGACCTCCGTTCATCTCGCGCAGCATCGTGGAGACAGGTAGTAGGGGTTGTCGGGGGAGGTCCTTTCGACGATACTTAAGCAGGATTGCGTTTTAGACTAGTAGAATTATAACAATAACAAAGTCGCGTATTTTTTTTGGATTTCTAATTAAGATTAATTGTATTCGGGGTTTTGGCACAATTTTCTCTACTTTCAAAGTTGTGAAAATCTTATGTTACTCTTTTACGCCATCTTTTATATACGAATTTTTTATTGGGAATTCAATTTTTCTTTTTTTATCTATTGATAAAACATAGATAAATCAATAGTTTTCGAGTTATAAAATAGTACCGTACAATAGTATTGTTTGTAAAAAATCTTTGAGCCGAGCACAACCAATAATAGCGCCTGACGGTAGTAGCAGTCCTGACGTAGACGATAAAATCAATTGAGAAAGAAGACGTGAAAGAGAATTGAAGAAAGAATATACAGGATGTCTCGGACGTTTCTGGCCACAACTTTTTTATAAATACTTTGTGAGACGTCTATTTACCAAATTTTGAGATAAATATAAAAGTACAAAATTTTTTAATGAAAGTAATAATGAACATATTTTTGATCGTGTCTCGGGAAAAGGATTTAATAATATCTCACGAATAATAGGAGATAGCTAGCAATTTGTCAAGGTCCGAAATTAATAATTGATTTATAGATTAACAATAGCATTAGGGGGAGATTATTAAAAGGAACACGTTTTCCCTCTCCGATTCCCAATATACTCTAGAAAGTGGTAAGTATTTCTCGAAAATCGTTTCATCAAAGCCTTTGCTAGCAGGAAGCATTATTTACTCGAGATTTATTTGCCACTGATGAAACCGAATGAATACCGGGAGATATGTTGCAAATAGGCGAATAATGCACAGCATATCTGGATGTATTTGCGGTACATTACACGCGTAGCATCAAATAAGTTCGTCCCGCGAATATCCCGGATATTAAGATAGCCGGTGGTACAGCGGCAGTCGCTAGAAACCGAGCGAGCGTGACTGTACAGGTTCCTCAGGTATGTACGGGGCCAGGTGGAAACGTACTTGCGAAGGTAAACGGGATCTCTTCACGCTCGACCTCGTGCCAACTTCGATTCGCGACCAACGATCGACCAATGATCGACGAGAGTCCACTCACGAATTATCACGTGTTTGCGTACGCGAGGCTATAGATTTATTCGCACACGCGACACTATTTTTACTGCGCTATGATTACATTGGAAATCTATCGCGAAGAGATTAACTGCGGTTAATCTCCTACTGTATGGGATGTTTAACGAGCACCACTCGGCAGACTCGACACTCGTTTGCAAGTACTTTAACCGATTTGGTACCAATTATTCTTTACTACGAATATCGAAATATTGATGATTTTTTTGGTAACATTTTCGGTTAGCAAAGAAATTTCATTTAAGAACGCAAAATAATTTTTTTTTTTTTTTTTTTTC